ACATTTTAATGACTGTGTCAAGAAATAGTAAATTCTGACGTCTGAACATGCACAGTAACTGATCACTTGTTCCCTCCATTCTCTTCTTAAATTTTCATGGAAAAATGCATAGAACCTTAATTTATTCAATGCACCCCTTATAGTTCTATGATTCTAGAATCTTGATTACATTCCTGGGTTTTATGGGAGTATTCCTGAAGAAATTCAATTTGGTTCATCAAACTTATTGAGTCCCTGCTATGCTAAATACCTGGGGCTAAGTATCAAAAGACTTAAAATCACTGTTTATTCAAAGTATTATTATGTGCATCCCAATTAATTCCATTGTAGTTAGGTTATAGTTCAGTGTAACTAGCTTAAATTTCCGTATGAGAGCTGAGGTACAAGTAAACTATGATGAAGTACAGTTGTGGTATTTCATGGACAGTGTAAGAATGGTAGAGGAAGAGGCACGTTTGCAGATAGTTCTTGGAGAACACGTGGAAATTCATTACAGAAATTGGGGACAAAAGCATTTAAGGCAGAAGGAATAACAGAGCCCTAAAACGTGAAGGTACAGTCCAAGCATGCTAAGGAAAATCCAGGAAGTGCAAGATGGGTGGAATAAACAGTACTTAAGAAAAATTAATATGAGATAGAATAGAGTCATGTTGGGGATGTCACAGAAGATTTTGAAAGTATTAGAAACTATTTTGAAGAGAAAATGGATGAAATTAAGATGTTTAAACAGGGATATAACTCTAACAGAGTTGAACTTTAGGGAGAGTGTTTCTGCATACTAGGTAAGAGGTATATGAGAGGAAAATGAAAATCACAAGGTAGAGCCAAGCTATGATCTCAATAGTGAGAAGATGTGGGAGTCAGGTTGTGAACAAGGCTGTGACATTAGAAAAAGGGGGAGGGTAAGAAGTAAGAAACACTGTGTGCAAAGTCTAGGTAGGTGGATAACAGGGACTCCAGAACCATTTAGCGCTAGGGTAATTGTGGTGTAATGAACATCTGGGAAGAAAACGATAATTTTCAGATAAGGCATGAAAATAATTCTTCAGTGTGAACTGTGTCTGAAAAACTATATCCATTGTTAACAAATTTGGTATGCTGGTTTACTTTTTTTTTTAACTTTGACAACAAGTCAGGACTTTATCTTATAATTAATGTGTGTATGAGAGACAGAGAAAGAGAGGGAGATACAGAGGAAGGGGTGAAGGCAGAAATGGTGTGTAGTTGTAGGTTTGAGGGAGGAAGAATAAATCAGTAGAAGGATTTTCTGCAGACATTTTGCAGAACCTATAAACTGATTCTAAACTTGCTCTTGTACCCAATCCTGAATTCTTATCTGATAAATGTGTGCTTACGGCAATGGATACACCTTAAAAAACATGGGTATGCCACAAATTCATCAATGTTTCAGCAAACATAATTTGGAAAACAAAAGATATGGACATTGCAAATGTAACATCACTTTTGTACATGAAAGAAAATGTGTATTATTTCCCTCCAAACTTTTGAGTCTGTATTAAGAAGAGTATATTTGATCTGGATGTGAATTTCTTGATTTCATTAAACTGTGCTTTAGGCTTGGATAATGACTTAGGTTGTATTGTGACACAATTTTTATTTCTTTCTTGGCACGGATTGGTTGTTTGGGATGATTAATTTTGCCAGAATCTGAAATTATTTATAAATTTTGGACTTGGAAGTAGGCATTTACTCAAAAAGAAGGATCAAGATCTGGCTTTAGAGCACTGAGGATCTAGTTTTCAGTCCAACAACTATTCCTGGAGCCTTTCCAAAATAGGACCTGGTATAGAAGAATGATGTTCTTCACTCCTTCATGTCTCAATATCTTTGTTAAGGAAATGTCTAAGTTCATCAGTCATATTGCTTAATGTTTAAAACTTTCCACTCTGAAATGAGACACTCCGTGTGAATTTCTGCTCTGCCATTTTAATGGCTGTATAAATGAAAGCCTTAGAAAGTTATGTCATTTTGTGGTTCAGTTTTCTGATCTATAAGTGGGGCTAGAATATCCCCGATTGGGTTATTGTGAGGATTAAATGAGGTGATTTATGCAAAGATCTTAGAACATTACTCAGAAATAGCAAATGCCCTATATGGGTATTATTATCGTTATTCTCGATAGATGCATTAAAATTTTAAGTGCCTTAAAACATAAGCTATTGTTATCATCATTAATATTAAATTTGTTTGGAACCAGTAGTTAGTGTAATGGCTATGTCGCTGGACTCCCATGTGGTCGACCGCGGTTCGAGTCCCAGACCCGGTTGCTTAAACTCATGCCTGGCATGTGTGCGTGTGTGCCCAAGATCCCAAGAGGAGAATGGAAGAGAAGGGATTGCGGTGTAGTCATCCCCCCAGGGGGTGATTTCTCGCTTTCTGTCTCTCTGTCTCTCTCTGTCTCTCTGGTGAGCGCATGCACCCTATAGCAAAAACCTCTCCAAAATATATATACATATGTTTTTTTTTTTTTTGAAAGAGAGATTTTTGCTATTATGTGCACTTGCCAGAGAGACAGTGAGAGAGAGAGAGAGAAAATGAGAGCTCACCCCCTAGGGTGGATGGCCATGCCTCAATTCCTTCTCTTTCATTCTCCTCTCAGAATTTTGGGCATACATGCACAAATGCCCTGCGTGAGTTGTAAGCTGCTGAGTCTGGGACTCAAACTGTGGTTGACTATGTGGGAGTCCAGAGACATAACCATTATGCCATCTGCTGGTCCCAATGTTGAAGTATTGAAGAGAAAAATTTTGGAAAGCAGGTGCTAATTTCAGCTAGAGAAGATGTTTATGATTCTCTGTATATGTTCTTTATGTTTCAGCTTTTAGTCCGAGATGGAATGAAACATTCACATTTATTATTCATGTGCCAGAATTGGCATTGATACGTTTTGTTGTTGAAAATCAAGGTTTAATAGCAGGAAATGAATTTCTCGGGCAATATACTTTACCAGTTCTATGCATGAACAAAGGTAATGTTCCTAAAAGTAAGATGATAGTGCCAACACTTAAATATAATTTGCGTTTATCAAAGGCACAAATGTTGATAGATTAAATAGCTCTACCCATAAAAGTAGAATGTCAGGGAATGTTTTTCTGTTGACACACATTTTCTTTTTGTAGAATTACAGACATATGTTTTCATGGGGAAGGTAGGGTGGAGGTGAGGATTACTAGGAAGACTAATTAGACAAACTTGGCATGTATAAGTACTTCTTTACACAGATCATTGTTCTGTTTCAGTGGGGAGTAGTCATGACTCTTCTAAATAGAAGAGAGAAACAGTAACTCATTCTTCCTGCCTGAGGAGAGAACTGAGAGTCTGGGGCAATCCTTTCCTAATTCTTTCCAGGGTTGCCTTTATGTTGCAGTCACCTGTCGAGGATGATTTGCATTGTGCCCCCCAATGACCTGGGTTCATTTTGTCTACAGTACTTTCCCAGTACTATCTGAGATGTGCCTAGGAAACAGGGTCTACTTGAAGCAGAACATGGTGCTAATTTTGGAGCATGCTGCTTTTTTTTTTCTTTTTTTTCTGAGAGAAAGAGATTTGCCATAAGGGCGTGTGAGTTCGCCGGAGAAACAGAAAAAGACAGAGAGACAGCAAGAAATCACCCCCAGGGAGGATGGTACACCACAATTCTTTCTCTTCTGTTCTCCTTTCAGGATTTTGGGCATGCACGCACATGTGCCCAACATGAGTTTTAAGCCACTGGGTCCAGGACTCGAACCGCAGTTGACTCCGTGTGAGTCCAGCAACATAACAGTTAATGCCATCTGCTGGTCCATCATGCTGCATTTTGAGGGAGAAGATGTATGAGCTGTGTGCTCAAGTCTTAGGCTGTAGGAAGTCAGAATAGAACCGGCAAATTTTTGTGGAAAATTAATATACAGGAAGTAAATAGAATTCTATAGTTATAGTTTTTACTGTATGCTTAATAAAGATATCTTTTTTCTCAGTAGTTCTATTGGGCCCATCACGGATTTGTTTATTTGTATTGTCCTAATTAGATGTGATTCCTTTTGCAGGTTACCGCCGCATTCCCCTGTTTTCCAGAATGGGTGAGAATCTTGAGCCTGCTTCACTGTTTGTTTATGTATGGTACGTCAGATAGCAACTGATAGCGCCTGACCAATTGTTAGCTAGCCATCACAATAAAACAGCCAAAATGAATGTCTACAATTTTTATTTTATTTTTTTAAACATAGGGCAAAATGACTATGTATATAAATGAAAAAAAAATTTAGCTAATTCACTTTTTAAAACTTGCCAGGGAGCATGTGCACTTGTCAGAGAGAGCGATAGGCAAACAGAGGAGTGGGAAAAAGCACCCTCAGGTGGAATGTGATCACACTCAAATTTCTTCTCTTCCATTTCTCCAGGCTGTCAGGATTTGGGTCCCATGCACAGTGGACCCGCAAACAAGTGTGACCAGTATGTTTCTCAAGCTGTTAGGGCTGGGATTCCAACCATGCAGCGGGCCATGTGGCCTTTGGTTCCCCTAACCTTAGGCAAAAAGGCCAACCCAGTCCACTTATAAATATACAAAAGAATAGTGATCAAAAACAGAAAAAAGGAACTTCAGAGGATCCTGGTACCATGTTTGTCAGTGGGTTTATTCTGCCCATTTGGCTTCAAGGCTGCTCTTTCAACTTGCTTCTATCTTTTTTTTTTCTTTTAAAGAGAGACTTTTGCTATAGGGCTAATGTGCTCAATGAAAAGGCAGAGAGAGACAGAGAGACAGAAAGTGAGAAATCACCCCCCCACCCCTACCCCCAGGGGATGGCCATGCAGCAATCCCTTCTCCATTCTCTTGGGATGTTGCGTGTGCATGCACACGCTCCTGGCTTGAATTTTAATCCACCGGGTCGGGGATTCTAGCTGTGGTTGACTACATGGGAATCCAGCGATGTAACCATCTGGTAGTCCCATTGGTATAATTTTAAATGAGAATTTGCAAGCTTTTAAAATGAGTGATTGTGTAAGATACGTTGGCAAATATTTAGCAGCATAAAGGGAGTGTGAAATCTACAAATATTTTAACGTCTAGACACCCGCTACTGCATGTTTTAGTGGGAAGGAATTAGATTGCTAAATCCTTTGTGCCCTTTTATATCCTAGAGAGTAATTAGCCCTGTACTGTCTTGCTGGTTCTTAAATGCCCTGTACTGGATTTGGTCCCCTGTAATTTTAGACATTTTTATGAATGTATATGAAATTGATTTGCATTCAAACTGTGTTCAGACTGCATATCTATAAAAGAAATCTACTATGTGAACTTAGATGCTTGGATCTTGAATTAATTTGCAATATTTCTGAATCTGTACTAAATGTACTTTCAAGACTGTCTCTTGGTCAGAAATGAGATTCTTCAGCTATTTGATATGCTGGACTTAAAAATGCTATACTAAGTGTTATATATAGAATATTGATTCTTAGTAATTATGTTTTACAAAACCAAGGATATTAATACTTATTGTGCTATGTTTATTGGACTGTAGTGATGCAAAAACACTCAGCACGTTTTAACAAAATAGAAGACCCTCAGTATGTATTTGTTGAAATCAAATTCAATTTCAGCAGTTTTTTTGTAACTAAAATAACAAAATGACCATTTGTTTGAGATGTATACTAATGTATTATTGTCTGATGGCCAGAAAATACAAAATAACCTCTCTAGCATATTTTACTGCTACTATGGTTTATCTTTGGCATAAAAGTTTACAATTTTTTAAAAATGCCATTGGGAATTAAAATTCCTATGCCATAAATCTTAGGTTATGCAATGCATAACCTTTTAGCTCCTTCCTCATAGACCTTCTGTGTATTAGGTCAGGACAGTTTTCCCAAGAAAGCCGCACAGCCAATTCTTAAAAGGACTTCTGCATGTTGCCAGATAATAGATGGCTTTTATTTAAATCATCTATTGTTCATGACAGCAGGTGGGATGTTCCCTGAAAGCTTTAATCTCTAATCAGCTAAGGCCTTTTAAAGATCTGGAATTCCATGGAACTTTAAGACTCAAGTGAGTTATGCAGGAGAGTTCATTAATTCTGTAGTAGGACAAACTTTTTTTTTCCATTTATACCATTAAGCTTTAAAATAGAGTAGAAAAAGACTTTTTTTTTTCTTTTAACCTTTTCTACAGGTACCAATCAAACTCATCTTGCTAACTTTGAAGATCAAGTCTTCCTTTAAAAAAATTAGTTCCACTTTACACAAGGAAGACAATTTTAAGGGAAACATTAACTTGTTTCCTGGCCAACATTCTTGCGATGTCTTTAAACATTCTTGGTTCCTTTTTTATGTGCATTATGTATCCTTTACTATATATTTTAAATTAAACCGTTATTATGATTATGATTTTCTCAAAAGAATGCATACTACCCATAGATACTCCAAAGCCAGGGAGTGTCCCAGAAATGGTGTGCGATACCAGCTTTGACGCGTACTTACTAGACATTATTCATTAGTGAGAACAAGTAGTGTGGGTGAGTGGAAGCCAGAAGAAAAGGCTAAATGACTCGCTAAGGCTGTGACAACAGGAGATCTTTTAAGTTTTCAACTGTTAGGGTACATGCCAATTCCTCAGGAATCCAGGCATGCTCTCCTGGGATAGGTTATATTCCTAGATTATGTTTGCTCACAACTCAGAATGAGAATGACAATGAGAATGACAGTTGGGAGCTGAGATTGCGATATTGGTAGGCCCTGGTGTTGCCAGGAGCTGGCATGGGGCTCACCCTAGGTCTTGATGTTTCCTTGATGAACATAAACAGTCTCACAGGAACATCAACATCAGAGGAGGCCGCTCTGCACCACAATGGAACAGGACAGAAACAAGACCCTTCTCTGTACCACAATGGAATAGGACAAAAACAAATCTTCTCTGTAAGCCGGGCCAAACACGTGCCAAAAGCAGAATACTGTTTAAACACAAAGGGCCAACACTCCAGTGTCCTGGCTGACATGAGTGACTGTTATCTTACCACCAATTACAGTTTTAACCTCAATTTATTCCTCTTGTCTTACAAATATGATTTACTTCAGACAACAACCAGTATGAAGAACGCTTCTTCCTTGACCCCTCCCCCAAATACTCTTAACACAAGCCCAAATCCAATAGCTTTATCAGCCTCTTACTGAGACAGTCCTGGTTCTCCATATTGTGAGTCTCTTTCATGGCAGTGAGCAAGAAACGCACTGGACTTTGTTGGAGGGCATGGGTGCAAACTTGGATTTATGCTGTCACTGCCTTGTTTCGATCAGGGAGACAGGAAAGCTTAATTATGTTCTCAATTTTGAGGCTTTCATTTTTCTTTTCTCGGATTATGGTTGTTTAGAGCTGTAAATAGAAAACATGCAGAGCACAATTTCTCCACTGAGACTTACTGAAATGTGGCCACTAGAGGTAAAGGACAGACTGGTTGCTGAAAAGTAAAGTTGATCTATTTCTTTTTTAAGTTTTTTTTTTTTTTTTGGAGAGTTTTTTTTGTTATAGGGCGCGTGCGCTTGCCAGACAGACAGAGACAGAGAGACAGAAAGCAGGAAATCACCCCCCAGGGGAGATGGTCACGCCGCAATCCCTTCTCCTCCATTCTCCTCTCGGGATCTTGGGCATGCACGCACATGCGCCTGGCGTGAATTTAAGCCACCGGGTCCGGGGCTCGAACCGCGGTCGACTACGTGGGAGTCCAGCGACATAGCCATTACGCTAACTGCTGGTCCCAAGTTGATCTATTTCTGAAAAATATTTGGAGAAGCTTCTCTCTAGCCATAATAAAAACATCTCTGCTTTTTTATTTTTTTAATTGCCAAGGTGCATTTGCATTTAACAGACAGAACCAGAGAACCAGAGAGCCAGAGAGGGAGGAAATACCTCCGTAATAGGGTGCAGCCAGGTCACAATCCCTTCTTCATCTCTCCATCCTGTCAGGATTTGGGTACAAAGGCATATGTGACCGGCATGTTTTTCATGCCACTGGGGCTGGGATTTGAATTGCAGTTTGTCTTGTGGAATCTGGCTCCATTAACTATGAGGCTCATACTTTATGACTGGAGAATCCAAAATATATCATAAGAACTCTTTGTTATTGACTTGCCTGATTAATTTTTAATTTTGGTTATGGGAAAATGTATGAATTATTTGAGAATTGTAGAACATACACCCTAGAGAGAGCCTCTGGGGTGGTTCCAGTCAAAACTTTGTGTAAATCTCAAGAGAGATTTTTAGAGCTGCATTGGGAAGAAGCTCATGCTATCAGTTAGGACAGAGTGGAGTCATTTTTGTGGTGGATATTTTATTGGTGGAATATATAGACTGGATTCTATTTTTCAAATGTTCTTAATTCCCATATCCTCAGTACCACAAAAATGCTTGTTGAGTTGCATTACTGTCAAAGTAATAACCCTCTGGAAATATTTGTACCAGAGGGCATGTATGCTTGCCAGAGAAAGACAAGAGAGAAGGGGAGAAGAAGAAAGCACGCCCAAATGGGTGTTGTCATGCCACAGTCCCTTCTCCTCCATTTCTCCATCCCGATGGGATTTTGGATATGTACACTCAAGTATTTGGTGTGTTTTTCAAGCTACTGGGACTGGAATTCAAACTACAGTCGGCTATGTGGAGTCTGGCTTCTATAACCACTTGGCTATGGAGCAGGCCCAGCAATGAAGTGTTTTTATGATACATTTTTGGATTCTCCAGTCATAAATTGTGAATCTTCTATAAAATTAAGTGTAAGCTCCTTTTATAAGTCAATGGAAATTCTCATTTCAAACATTTAAAGGGGTAGATTGAAGAGGAATTTAAATTTAGGGAAAAATTGGTCTTCGTATCCTCTCTTCTTACAGAGCATCCCAGAATACAGGGGAGAGTTGATGTTAAATGCCCTAAAAGCTATCACATTTTCAGATATCTGTGCCTTTTTTCTACTTTCTATCTGTACACAGTCTAACCTTCACAGTTTTTGTCATCTTTTCCATTCTTCTACCAGGGAAGTCACTTTTCTAGTATGATAATCACAACATCTGCAAGGTTAGTCAGTGCTTAATGTGCACCTCACAATAGAGGTAAGTTAACCTTAATCTTTCAGCAATCTTACCTTTCATTGAAAAAGGTCCAGAAAATTGAGTTTTCTACAGTAAATAGTTAGAAGTCTGCTCATA